CTTCTTATTTTGTCTTGAGATCGATTGGTAATACTCTGCTGCGAAGAGGAAGTGGTGAGAGGAGGAGGAGGAAGGTGAGGAGGGGGGAATGAAGGAAAGGACAAGGAGGAAGAGGAAGGGATGGTGTCCACCTTAACCTTAGCTTGGTGCTGGGACAGGAGACTTCAGTCGTCAGGGTGTGTGAAGCGCCTCCAGAAGGCCTCTAGAGGGCCTGTAGAGGGCCTCCAGAGGGCCTCCAGAGGGCCTCTAGAGGGCCTCCAGAGCGCCTCTAAAGGGCCTCCAGAGCGCCTCTAGAGGGCTTTTAAAGGGCCTCCAGAGGGCGTCCAGAGGGCCTCCAGAGCGCCTCTAGAGGGCCTCCAGAGGGCCTCCAGAGAGCCTCCAGAGGGCCGCCAGAGGGCGTCCAGAGGGCCGACGGCTCAAGAGATGTTGTTGTTGTTGTTGTTGTTTAAGATTCGCTACTTGGAACACAAAGTTCCAAGCAGAACAGGCTATGGTGAGCCCGTAGACTGTCTTGCCACCAGAGAGACAAGCAAAATTTGCCAGTGCAGGCTATTAAACACATGGCTCTGTATGACTAACCGTCCTGCGAGATGGGGACTTGTATTACCACTGCTACCTTATTCAATCTTGTGTTGTTGATATCCTCAAAATGCATCCGGAGTCTGCCAGTGCAGACCGCTTATCACATGCCTCTGTATGACTAACCATCCTGTGTGATGGGGATTTTTTAGCATCACCTAGTTAGCTTCTTTTTGACACACTGTACTCCACTTCATATAGTCTAGGGTAGCTGCACTAATGCAGATGTACCTAATATGTTAATAATAGAAACTAAAGTAGTAAAGGCGAGCACCACACAACTAAGCACAGTGGGCGCGTCACGTGGGTACAACCAACGGAACGAGGGTATAGCCAACGGGACAAGGGTATAACCAACGGAACAAGGGTATAACCAACGGGTATATTACTCCCACAAACCACCCTCCTAAAATGGAAGAGCTTAGACTTTAGTGTTTGGTGGAGAGGACCAGTATGTCGTGAGTGACTACTAGTAACCCACTTTCTTTACAATTAATTTGATAAGATTTCAGAAAAGCAAAGCTTCAAACTGATATATTCCAAGGTATATAGTACCTTATAGTATATATATAGTGATATATAGTACATATATTCCATTCACCAGGGCTGTAGGAGACTCGAACCGTGGACCCCATGTCTGGGAGGCTGAAGCTCTATCCACTGGGCTATGAGTAGTCTTAATAAGGAAAGAATGTTTTTTTTAATATGTTTTTATTTATAGTACATATATGTACTATATTAGGCCTAAGATAGCGTGTATTAGGCCTAAAATGGCTAGGATAGGTTAGGTTAGGTCTTGCATTTATGTAGTGGTTAAAAATAGTTATTATAAGTACTATCATTTTAGGAGCAGTGTCAGTATGAAATAAATTAAAAAAAACAACTTCGATAAGTAAATTAATATACACGATGAATATCTCGCTAATACATTGACGGATAAATCTAAGTTGTCTCTTGACAAGAAGACAGACACACTAATCGCTACATTCGCCCCCCCCCCCCCCTCCCCCGTCAAGGGGCCAGATTCACGAAGCAGTTACGCAAGCACTTACGAACCTGCACATCTTTTCTCAACCTTTGGCGGCATTGTTTACAATTATTAAACAGTTAATGAGCTCCGAAGCACCAGGAGGCTGTTTATAACAATAACAACAGCTGATTGGCAAGTTTCAATGCTTGTAAACTGTTTAATAAATGTAACCAAAGCCGTCAAAGATTGAGGAAAGATGTACACGTTCGTAAGTACTTGCGTAACTGCTTCGTGAATCTGGCCCAAGGAGAAGTGTGTCAACACTGACGCCCCAAGATGGGACACACCAGATTGTAAAGTCTCTCCACAATCTCTGTTATTGCTAAAATCAGAGTGTGTTTGCGTCGATCTAAGACATCAAAGCATTGAGGCGGCGCTGGCAGACTCGAACACATCGCTCCTCCAGTCTCCGGAGGTGCCGGGGGAGAGGGGGGGGGGAGGACTCAAAGACTGCCTTGGGAAGAGTCCTTCATATCCTATAACACGTTTTTGTCTTCTACATTCCTTGTATTATTATTATTATTATTATTATGGCTCTGTGTTCTGCCTGGGTATTTTGCACTAGCAGGACAGTCAAGGGTAAGTGTATGACAAGACGGTCAAGGGTTAGTGTATAACAGGACGGTCAAAGGTAAGTGTATGACAGGACAGTCAAGGGTTAGTGTATGACAGGACGGTCAAGGGTAAGTGTATGACAGGACGGTCAAGGGTAAGTGTATGACAGGACGGTCAAGGGTAAGTGTACGACAGGACGGTCAAGGGTAAGTGTATAACAGGACGGTCAAGGGTAAGTGTATAACAGGACGGTCAAGGGTAAGTGTACGACAGGACGGTCAAGGGTAAGTGTACGACAGGACAGTCAAGGGTAAGTGTATAACAGGACGGTCAAGGGTAAGTGTATAACAGGACGGTCAAGGGTAAGTGTATAACAGGACGGTCAAGGGTAAGTGTACGACAGGACGGTCAAGGGTAAGTGTACGACAGGACGGTCAAGGGTAAGTGTATAACAGGACGGTCAAGGGTAAGTGTATAACAGGACGGTCAAGGGTAAGTGTACGACAGGACGGTCAAGGGTAAGTGTACGACAGGACGGTCAAGGGTAAGTGTACGACAGGACGGTCAAGGGTAAGTGTATAACAGGACGGTCAAGGGTAAGTGTATAACAGGACGGTCAAGGGTAAGTGTACGACAGGACGGTCAAGGGTAAGTGTATAACAGGACGGTCAAGGGTAAGTGTACGACAGGACGGTCAAGGGTAAGTGTACGACAGGACGGTCAAGGGTAAGTGTACGACAGGACGGTCAAGGGTAAGTGTACGACAGGACGGTCAAGGGTAAGTGTATAACAGGACGGTCAAGGGTAAGTGTACGACAGGACGGTCAAGAGTAAGTGTATAACAGGACGGTCAAGGGTAAGTGTACGACAGGACGGTCAAGGGTAAGTGTACGACAGGACGGTCAAGAGTAAGTGTATAACAGGAGCAACCTTTTCTGCTTCGGGTCAATACGGATTACACTTGCTTCATTAAACACAACACACCTTCACGGTGACACAACAAGAACACTGTCATTACTTAAGCAAGTCTGAAAACAAGTACCATTAGTATATACATTCTATTTATACAGCAAACGTAAAATAATTTTACGTTTTAAATTTATCCAATTTAAATTTTGGTCGAGGGGCGGGGAGTGGCGTGGCGAGACGCCATCAGCAGTGAGCAGTTACGTCATGGAGGAACACGCTGCCATCGGTAAATAACCATCATGTCTATAGTTAGCCCCTAAGACAGCTTCACGTGATGACCCATAACCATAACGTGTGTACTTGCGTGTCTAACACCCGGGACTTCCCTCGCAGTCTCGCCCAAGAAGGTCCAAGAATAATGTCTAAATTGGTACGACGCTAAGTGATAGAGTGCCACGAGTTACATCTATAGGTAACAGGCCGGCGTGCCATCATAGTTCATCCGCGCACCTCTGAAACTACAGTGGTTATAGTGGCGTGGTGGTTGACAGAGTGCCACCAGGGTGGCCCGGCACTCTCCTCTACACGCTTAATTAAACTATTCCCAAAGGCCTCCTGAATAAGATTATAAGCGCCACTTTTAGTGTTTTCGTGTTTCAACGGAACGACGTGCAGAGGAAAGTACGGAAGGAAGAGGAGAAGTGGAGAAAGGAACAGGAAAAGGAACACCAGCGGTGAGTACAAAAGGAGGTGGCAGGAAAATTAGAAGAAGGGTGATGTGGCGACGAAGAAGAAGTGGAAGAAAGGTAACAGTAGCAAGAATTAGGTCCAAAATAGGAAGATGGGATGAAGGGACCCCAAGACGCTGACGTAGAAGAACACATGATGTTCGAATTATCAGTAAGAATCAGCTAAAACATAAACTGTCAACCATATTATCGTAGAAATAAACATTTCATTCACTTGGGTACTTGGAGACTCGAAGCGCCGACCCCACGAGCGAGAGACAGAAGCTCTATCATTGTACTATGAAACACCCTTAATCTTTGGCTGTCTGATAGCCCAATGGTAGAGCAGCTAAAACATGTTTATGGAGGAGTGCTCGATAAGAAAACTGACTTATACAAAACTCGTGATTCTGATGTGATGACCAGACCACACACCAGAAGACGAGGAGACGTTTCGGTCCGTCCTGGACCGAAACGTCGGCCCTGGAACGAAATCAAGTCGACAATTAACTAGATAATGGTCCAGGACGGACCGAAACGTCGTCGTCTCCCCATCTTCTGGTGTGTTGTTGTTAGGTCATATCTTCAGCCTGGTGATTCTGATAATGTGGTTGATCTAATGTCTGGCGATTTAGCAACAACCACCACAATACAAGTCTGTCCAATGTTGCTTTAGCTGGTGGTCCCCAAACCTATAAACATCCCCAATTGGTGTAAACTCAGTGTCTATTACTATTCCCCACAAATACACTAAGGAAGAACACAAATTCTCACTTTCCCCCTTTCTCTTTTCTAACAAACTTTCACTCTTGAGGTCACGATGCTGTCAGCTTGACAAACTATGAAGGTACTTTGGTAGTCTTCCTGGCTTGAGCCTCCTTTGACAATTATTTACATAAGTTAATAAATTATGTGATTGGCTCATCAGTGCAGAAATTTGCTTAGCTACACGAATTTTGTGCTTCAATTCCTGAACCCATTATGTGTATCTTAACTTTTTTTAACTACCGCTCACATAATGGGTATGGGGAACATAACAAATGAACTAAACTAACATTCCTTTTCCCCATTATTGTCTTCTAATGTAGAGACAATCAGTAATGTCTGGGTGTACATTTATGTCTTGCTAAACATTAACACCAGTTCAAGTCTCAGACAAAGACACAAATGCATGTTAAGGAGTCATTCAGAACACCTACTTGAGGCCAGTACTGGAGTATGCAGATCCCGTCTGGTGGCCCCACCTGAAAAATAACAGAACGAAGCTATAGTGTACTGAAGCTCGCTACAAAGTTACTCAAACAACCGATAGTAAATTGATACACGAAGGCTGATAGAAGTTAAACAAAAAGTAAGAAAGGGTTTTGACATGTTTGAGATATTCAAGATTCCCAGAGGAATTGACAGTAGGTAAATCAAGACAATTACATAGAAATAGGATTGTGATTTACTAGCTCTATTAGTGATAAAACATAACCAACAGCTCATTTTTAATTTTTTTGCAGGGATATTCCTGCGCGGGTCCCAAGTGTCTGGCTGACTCGTACAGTGACAATCAGAACTACCTAAAACTCCAGCCTGTAAATCCTGGAGAGGGGGAAGACCTATCATCAATTGGACGACGTTCTTCGATGTCTCACTTTAGGGTGTGGCTTTGGGAGAATGTGTCTGTTGGGGAGTGTGGCTGTGGGATGATGTGACTGGGTGAGGATATGTCTGGGAGAGAGCTTGAAGGGTGAGGATGTGGCATGCAGTACAGTATGGCTGCGATAGTGTGCCTCTGTGACATACTGTGATAATGGAAAGGTGAGTGTGTGGCACACAGTCTCTCACACACACAGTACCTTCACCCCTCACACAGTCCCTCATACCTCACACAGTCCCTCATACCTCACACAGTCCCTCACACACACACACACACACACATGGTCCTTCACTCTTCACACATAAGTCTTCATCAGTGTTAGGATGTGCACATAAGTGCTTGCATGTGTACATGAGCGCATGAATGTGTACATGAGCGCATGAATGTGTACATAACTGCTTGAGTGAGTGCGTGATAACTAAAGTCTATAGCTGAGTGGCTGCCTGTGTTTTTTGTACCCGCCTTGCTGTGCTCACCTACATGTAATTGTGTTTCAGACCAAGGACACTTAACTCAACCTAAAACACACTAATATTATGACTCCATAAAACGCTTCTCAAAGTCCCCCTTAAAATGCAGTGTAAGAAATGCACTCCGTGTCCCTCTCTTACGCATCGAGAAATACAATCACAATTGACCTGAAACTGAACGACTGAGAGGGATCAGACTTGTCAGGTGGATGTAGGTGACCCTCAAAACAATCTCCGTCACCTGAGAGAAAGGCACCGGCCACGCCAAAGACAACTCTTGTCACAAGAGTACAAAGTACAAAAGTTTGTAACAAGACTGCTGCCAGAACTAAGCGAGCTAAGCCACAAACAAGCTAATGGAACTAAATCTCTCAACCAAAGATGATAGAAGGAACAGAGGGGGATATGATCACAACTTACAAGATACTGAGGGGAATAGATAAGGTAAGATAGCAAGAAAGCAGAACAAGAGGACACGGATGGAAACTGGAACGCAAGTGAGCCGAAGGGACGTAAGGAAGTACTCGTTCCCTGTACGGGTAGTTAACAAGTGGAATACTCTTAAATACTGGAAAACTCGAATACCACAGCAGGAGGACCACTATCACCACAGCAGGAGGACCACTATCACCACAGCAGGAGGACCACTATCATCCCAGCAGGACCATTATCACCACAGCAAGAAGACCACTATCACCACAGCAGGAGGACCACTATCACCACAGCAGGAGGACCACTATCACCACAGCAGGAGGACCACTATCACCACAGCAGGAGGACCACTATCACCACAGCAGGAGGACCACTATCACCACAGCAGGAGGACCACTATCACCACAGCAAGAAGACCACTATCACCACAGCAGGAGGACCACTATCACCACAGCAAGAGGACCACTATCACCCCAGCAGGAGGACCACTATCACCACAGCAGGAGGACCACTATCACCCCAGCAGGAAGACCACTATCACCACAGCAGGAGGACCACTATCACCACAGCAGGAAGACCACTATCACCACAGCAGGAGGACCACTATCACCACAGCAGGAAGACCACTATCACCACAGCAGGAGGACCACTATCACCACAGCAGGAAGACCACTATCACCACAGCAGGAGGACCACTATCACCACAGCAGGAAGACCACTATCACCACAGCAGGAGGACCACTATCACCCCAGCAGGAGGACCACTATCACCACAGCAGGAGGACCACTATCACCCCAGCAGGAGGACCACTATCACCACAGCAGGAGGACCACTATCACCACAGCAGGAGGACCACTATCACCCCAGCAGGGGGACCACTATCACCACAGCAGGAGGACCACAATCACCACAGCAGGAGGACCACTATCACCCCAGCAGGAGGACCACTATCACCACAGCAGGAGGACCACTATCACCACAGCAGGAGGACCACAATCACCACAGCAGGAGGACCACTATCACCCCAGCAGGAGGACCACTATCACCACAGCAGGAGGACCACTATCACCATATCACAATTTCATACACACAGACAAAAACAAAATTATTAACTACGAAAAATATAGCATTAATCGCGAACACAACTTCAAACGGCAAACTTTCAATAATTTTTGGTTTGCGGACACGACCTACAATGTCTGTACGGAGCAGTAGCGTGTTCCGGGATCAATACCGCAAGTTACGGGTAAAGATTATAAGGGAAGAAGCATGTGGGATTTGTGGCGTTCCTGAGTCCATAGTCAAGCATGGTGAAAATAAGGTGTTCCTGGGTACCTATTGTCGGGGTATGTGTGGTGTTGATGATCATGCTGGTAGCAACAGCGGAACCTGCACGCCATGTGTGTGTGTGTGTGTGTGTGTGTGTGTGTGTGTGTGTGTGTGTGTGTGTGTGTGTGTGTGTGTGTGTGTGTGTGTGTGTGTGTGTGTGTGTGTGTACTCACCTAGTTGTGTCTGCAGGATCGAGCATTGACTCTTGGATGTGTGTGTGTGTGTGTACTCACCTAGTTGTACTCACCTAGTTGTGTCTGCAGGATCGAGCATTGACTCTTGGATCCCGCCTTTCGAGCATCGGTTGTTTACAGCAATGACTCCTGTCTCATTTCCCTATCATACCTGGTTTTAAAATTATGAATAGTATTTGCTTCCACAACCTGTTCCTGAAGTGCATTCCATTTCCCCACTACTCTCACGCTAAAAGAAAACTTCCTAACATCTCTGTGACTCATCTGAGTTTCAAGCTTCCATCCATGTCCTCTCGTTCTGTTACTATTCCGTGTGAACATTTCGTCTATGTCCACTCTGTCAATTCCTCTGAGTATCTTATACGTTCCTATCATGTCCCCCCTCTCCCTTCTTCTTTCTAGTGTCGTAAGGCACAGTTCCCTCAGGCGCTCTTCATACCCCATCCCTCGTAGCTCTGGGACGAGTCTCGTTGCAAACCTCTGAACCTTTTCTAGTTTCATTATATGCTTCTTCAGATGGGGACTCCATGATGAGGCGGCATACTCTAAGACTGGCCTTACGTAGGCAGTGTAAAGCGCCCTAAATGCCTCCTTACTTAGGTTTCTGAATGATGTTCTAACTTTTGCCAGTGTAGAGTACGCTGCTGTCGTTATCCTATTAATATGTGCCTCAGGAGATAGATTAGGTGTTACGTCCACCCCCAGGTCTCTTTCACGCGTCGTTACAGGTAGGCTGTTCCCCTTCATTGTGTACTGTCCCTTTGGTCTCCTATCTCCTAGTCCCATTTCCATAACTTTACATTTGCTCGTGTTGAATTCTAGTAGCCATTTCTCTGACCATCTCTGCAATCTGTTCAGGTCCTCTTGGAGGATCCTGCAATCCTCATCTGTCACAACTCTTCTCATCAACTTTGCATCATCCGCAAACATCGACATGTAGGACTCTACGCCTGTAAACATGTCGTTAACATATACAAGAAATAGAATTGGTCCCAGCACCGATCCTTGTGGTACTCCACTTGTTACTGTTCGCCAGTCCGACTTCTCGCCCCTTACCGTAACTCTTTGGCTCCTTCCTGTTAGGTAGTTCCTTATCCATTCTAGGACCTTTCCCCCCACCCCCGCCTGCCTCTCGAGCTTGAACAGCAGTCTCATGTGCGGTACTGTATCAAAGGCTTTTTGGCAGTCCAGAAATATGCAGTCTGCCCAACCATCTCTGTCCTGTCTTATCCTCGTGTGTGTGTGTGTGTGTGTGTGTGTGTGTGTGTGTGTGTGTGTGTGTGTGTGTGTGTGTGTGTGTGTGTGTGTGTGTGTGAGTGTGTGTTTACTAGTTGTGTTTACTAGTTGTGTTTTGCGGGGGTTGAGCTTTGCTCTTTCGGCCCGCCTCTCAACTGTCAATCAACTGTTTACTAACTACTTTTTTTTTTCCACACCACACACACACACACCCCAGGAAGCAGCCCGTTACAGCTGACTAACTCCCAGGTACCTATTTACTGCTAGGTAACAGGGGCACTAAGGGTGAAAGAAACTTTGCCCATTTGTTTCTGCCTCGTGCGGGAATCGAACCCGCGCCACAGAATTACGAGTCCTGCGCGCTATCCACCAGGCTACGAGGCCCCATAGCCTCGTGTGTGCCTGTGTGTGTGTGTGTGTGTGTGTGTGTGTGTGTGTGTGTGAGAGAGAGAGAGAGAGAGAGAGAGAGAGAGAGAGAGAGAGAGAGAGAGAGAGAGAGAGAGAGAGAGAGAGAGAGAGAGAGAGAGAGAGAGAGAGAGAGAGAGAGAGAGAGAGAGAGAGAGAGAGAGAGAGAGAGAGAGAGAGAGAGAAAACGGCATATATCAGGAAAATGAATTAGAACTGCCATCACTCTACCTACCCGGGCCCCCATGATCCACACACCTATCCCCAATCCCGTCCCTGTATACCACACCTTTCCCCTTCCTATCTCTCAGTTACCATATCCTTCCACCAGATTTTGCCATTTCTCATATCCTTCCACATTTCTTACCATTTACTCGTTCCCAAGTTTTCTCCAGTACATTTACATTAAAATATAGTCCCTCCTATGACGGTGTCTCTGTGTTTTGCAGTTGCAGACTGTATCAGCTGGATGAACATTAGAATAGGTAGTCATAATGTATATAAGGTAGTCAGTCTTGCAGCAGAAGACCTA